TCGGCTGATTGCTTCTCTTGTTGCATGTTTCGAAAAGTCTTTCAGGTATTCCTTAACAAAAGAGTTAGAATGGTCTACTAATACAGTTTCCAGCTACATGAACAGATCGTCGCAGGGTGTATCGACAGCAGCGCGAGTGTGCGGGGTATTGCTGACGAGGACGCCGAGGCTGCAACCGTAATCCTGCCCTGTGCATGTAGCCAGCACAGTTCTCCAGGTTCACCTCCCATACCCACCTTGTGAATCCTAGTCTGTGAATTCATATTTTTGCTTATGGCTCTAAATCTGTAGTTCTCCTTCCCCATCGTTCAATTTAGGCTCAAAAGAAGCACTCTAAAACCTAGTTTCCAAAAATGTAATTGGATTTGATGTGGGGCAAATGGTTCTCTGTCAAGGCCCAAAGTTACATAAGCAAGTTTGCATATTTCTCCCAAATTATGCCATGCTGATTATGTCAACTTTTAAGAGCAGTTATGTGCCTGGATGCTCTTGTATTGTCTTTCTTACCTCAGAATATCATAAGGAATTCATTTAGGGAACTGGATAATACTTCTCACCTGTTTTCTAAAATATTACATCATAATAATTTACATTGGAAACATGTATTTTTTTTTAAATGCTTTTCCCAATACTTTGTGATTCCCTTATCATTTTGGTGCCCAGAGAAGGGTATTGTCTTCTAATTTCTTAATTCTCTATAACAAATGGTGCTTTGTTGACCATTCAGGGTCCCTAGAGCAACTTTCTTTGCAGAAGAACCTTTCCCGATCCATAACAGGTCATATTTGGCCGTGGCTGTGAAAACTTTATTTCTCCACCCACAAACTTCAATTTAGTACTAAAACAACCAGTTTTATGTTGTTTGAAAACCAAATTATATTTTCTCTCACCCTCTTTTTACTGTTACCTATTAACAGCAGTAAAACACTGCTACATCAGTGCATCTGTACAAAATGCCAAATGGCAGTTTTTACATCATTCAATGTAAAAAAAAAAATATTGCCAGAAAAATAGAGAAGCCAGTTCAATGAGTATTTTCCTCTCTGCTTGCATGCTCCAATGAACAATTTCACATCGTTTATTGACTTCTTAAAATCAAATGTTGCTTTAAAAGCTGGGGAGTGTTACTTTAAATTTATCAAGCTATTCAGTAAAATAAGTGACCAATTCCATCCTACCGATGTATTACGCACGAAACTACCCTTTTGAATGGAATGTATGGCTTAAAAATTGTAATAGATTATAAAAGGAGTAAATCATATTGAGCATTTCAGAGAAGGATTAGGTTTTAAAGGATATACATCAAGCATCTTATTATCAAACACTTTATTTATTTGCTCATCATGTAGTCTCTGCAATGATAATGTAAAGTAAGGGTGTAAGAAATAATTCGTCCTGCTGTCATGGTGTTACTCCAAATTAGACGAAACATACTCACAGGAGGTATAGAATCTTGCTTTCAGTAAGGTTCCCTATTGATCCGTACAAAGTCAATGATAGGTGGGCATGCGACACCCAATGCTTCAAATCCCTTGCCATGAGAACTTGCAGTGCCTGCAGGGAACGTTGTGGCAACTGTAAAATACCAGGGTCATCAAGGGGATGCTGATGATCATGTCCCATCTCGATGACACACTGGTCGACCCGCGTATATGACTCACTCGTGTTTGAAGAATAGACAGGAACGACATTGCAGAGGGTGTGGCAGGGAGGATGTCTAGCAGGACCTCGAGAGCCGTAGCCATCTCCTGATCGGTGAACTGTAACATAAGAGGTAATGAGAAGTATCAATGATTTGTCATGATAGCTCGCTACTTTATAAAGCGTGTGACAAGACGGTTGTCATGAAAACTGAAGCTAACATCACTTCTTTGATTTACCCACCATGATCCCAACTTATCAGTCTGCCACAAGAGAGAGGTATAGTCCAACTGACGAAAGAACAACACAAGTTGCCCCTATCTTCACCACTCACCGCTGTTCCGGTGGTGCAGGCCGACATTAATTTTGCATTAGTGGGAATAGTTTCTCATACCCTCGCCTCACGCATGGCGTGAGATTTTCATACTGGTACCAAGTCTCATTTACAAAATAAATACAGCTTTAGGGACAATTGACTAAGAAGGAGTGTTGACTAAGGCGAGTCGACTGGGGATGGAGGTAAGGCTTGATGTATTATTTCACCCAGCACTGTAATGCTGACCACACCCGCCAAAGGATGCTGTGTACGCCAACCTGAGGATGCTGAGTACACCAACCTGAGGATGACGCCAGATGTAAAAGAAAAAAGTTGGTTCTCTTCGGACTACACACCGGGCAAGTCAATGGTTGAGAACCAAGCTGAAGGACACCAGGTCACTGTCTGTACTGGGCAGTCCTGCACCAGCAAGGTAAGGAAGTTACGGGTTGGGGTTGGGAAGAGTGAGCGAGAGCGCTGGCCAGGCGACCTCGTAGCGCGTCGTCTGCTTACCGCTCGGCCGAACTCATGTGACCTGCCGGCTGCGTGCGCTGCAAGCCTCAGTGTGTTGGCAGTCGCCGTCGAAGCAGCCGGTCTCTCCAGTCAAGCGTTGTGCAGAGCGTGGGTGTGAAGGACGAAGTGCAAGTGAAGGTAGCCAGGATGGATCGACGTAGGCGTGAAGTTGTTCCCACAGAGGGTGTGCCCGGCCTTGGTGAGTTTCCCTATGCTGCGGCCTGGAGTAATTGTGGCCATGGTCACGTTGTATCATCTCTGTCGTTCTCCGCAGCCGGTGAGGAGCGCGAGAACCGTCCGCTGGAGGCTGCTGGAGCCGTGCTGCAGGTGCAGGAGGAGGACGGCTCGTGGGGGAGTGTCGATCAGGATCCGGGCCCCGCGCACGTGGACGCGGATTCAGTGGCGTCGTCCCGAACAGGTGAGTGGGGATGGGGGAGGGGGGGGGGGCTGGTCGTCTTTGTCAACGTTCTTGCTCTGACAGTGTTTGTTTGTTTGCAGCTGGGTCCGGCGGGCCCTCAACCGCAGGGGCAGGGAAGGTGGCCCAGGGGGCCCAACTGCGCCCTTCGAAGTTCGACTGTTTGGCCACCAAGGAGGCCCGTGCCGTCGCCGCCGCCGCCGCAGCTGGTGACCCGCGTCCCGAGGGTGGAGTCGTGGACCTGACAGACTCCATCTGCGTCAGCAGGGGCTGGTCGCGAGATCGGTTGGAGTGGGAGTGTCGAAACCGGAGCCGCTGGTTCTCGGACACCCACGCCCCGGATGCAGACCAAGAGGGTTGGGATCTGGGCCCCGGCGGGGAGCCCTTGCCCGAAGATTAGCCGTCTGCAGCCACCGATCCGCCTCCAGACAACGCTCTCAGCTGTGCCCTGCGCCTGCGCAAGCGGGCGATGGAATTGGCGCTCCAGCGCTGTCTGCGTGAGGAGGGCAGGCGCGGGGGCCAGGAGTAACGTCGCGTTGTCCTCCTTGTGTCCTGGGTGGGGGTTTTGAGCAATAAAGTTGAGTTGCATCCATCCCGCTGTGTGTCATTAATTGCCTGTAACAATCCTGGAGAGCTGGGGAGATGGTAAAGCAACTGCAGCAGTGAATCGCGGGCATGGCGTCGTCAGCTCCCGGCTCCCCCTCCACATGGTCCACCCCCTGTACGCCCATACGCCGAGGCGGATGTAACCGGAGGAGAAAAATGGATCATCCTCGTGGTTTTTACTTTACCTCCTCTAAGTGGGCGGCGGTCCGCGCGAGGGGGAAGTCGGCGGGTGGCTAAACGACAACCGCATGACATTCTCATCTGGCCTCATGCACTTTCGTCCCTGGAGGCGAGGCGCTGGGGGGCTCTGGGCTTACACAGTAGCCGTGTCCGAGCGGTGCGTCCGCGTGCCGCGAGCGAGGTTGTGCAACGGGTGCGAGGGGTGGTCGACTGGGCAGCTCCTGTGTACAGGCCAAAATGTACTCCAGGTGTTCTCCGATTGTACTCCGACTGTACTCCGTGTACTCCGGCTGTTTTTGTCACAAGTTCTCCGCGTACTCCCACCGTACTCCGGGTGTACTCCGGTGTACTCCGGGTGTACTCCAGGTTTCCTCAGCGCGCTCCGACCGGCAATACTCAGTGTTCTCCGACTGTACTCCGTGTACTCCGCACTCCTGTGTACACGAAAAATTCAAGTCGCCCACCCCTCGAACGGGTGGGTGTGTCGCTGCGGCCGCCGGGGGCACTAAGCCGGAGCCGAGGCCGGAGCCGAGGCCGGAGCCGAGGCCGGAGCCCCGGGCGGCCGAGCCCTGGGAGGCGGGCCGAGGGCCAGCTGCACGCCCTGCTGCACGCCCTGCTGCACCTGCTGCTGCACCTGCTGCTGCAACGGGGTGGCGCGGGGGCTGCCAGGGGGACCGCGTCAAGGGAGGGGCGGGAGTGCTCGGAGCAGAGCGTCACCCCGAGGCCCAGGACAAGTCCAGCAAACCTCGGCAGTAAGACACAACTCGACCAGCAGCTCTAGATGGGCTCGCAGCGCCACGCAGGGCCGGGGCAGGGCAGGGCGGGGCGGGGCGAGGCG